CGAAAGAAATATCCTTTTTGACTAAAATTTTTAGGATATTCTATGGTCAAATTTTCAGGTCGAAATTTCGTAATTTCATTTTCCAGTAAATACCTAGGAAAGGGCCGAAAGTTCAGTAAAAATGGTTATCATTTTCTAAGGAAAGATCAAAAACGTCCAAAAATTTCGGAATTTATAAAGTAGACATTGAACTACAAGATGACTAAATTGAAATTCAGAACACAGTTAATCAAGCGAACCAGACAGTGATGTTTCAAAAAATTCCTAGAATTCCCTAGAAAACTTTTCAAGTATTTTGATTCTCAGGTCCAGCTGCACCCTTACTCATGTTCTTTCTAGCGACGAAAAGTCGAGTTTGATAGCTATCAGTGTTGCCAAATGATTTAAAAAATAAGAGAGCCCATTCTTTTTTACAATGGATAATAGATACATTAAAACAATTTTCCTGTGATTAGCAAGATTAATCTCGTAGGAATTTCGCTAACAGCTTTTATTTAAATGAATATATGAGTATTTACAATAGTATAAATATACAATAAATAAATTAATGATTATGTGCTTTTTTGAAAATCTTGTCAGTTGTACTTGTTAGGATCCGACATCTATATATATATAGATGATCGATCCTCCTTCTTATTCTATATCATCTCTCTTCTTCTATTCTTTTCTAGTGAGTTGTTGTGTGTTACATGTACAAGTGAAGACGTGATAAAAATAAACATCAAGTTTAGGTTCACTTTCAATAACATTTTAAGAATAAAAGGAACGGAACCTAACAATGGTGCACTAGCCGATATTTCTTTAAAAATAAAAAATTCCGCGTGGCAGGCAAAGCAAATATTTGGCTATAGACAACATTGATGAAAATTAAATCAACACGATCTACCACTGATTTTACACAAACAGATATTAATTCTTTACTTTTATTAACTAAAAACGAAAAACAACCATTATTAATGATGTCAAATTCTGAACAACTTAATATTGATTCTACACAAACAACAATTGATTTAAACAAAAATGATAAAACTCGGTCGCTAGGTCATGATTTAGATGATCAGCGATCAGCTGAAAATGATCAAAAATATCAATCTTCACTTCAACAACAATTAAATTCAATACACAAATTTGATGGACATGGTAATCCAAAAATTTGGTTAAAACATATTATAGAAAAATTTGATTTATTACAACTTACAACTCTTGAACGTAATGAATTAGTTTCAGAAATTTTAACTGGTGATGCACTTATTTGGTATATTGAACAACAAGAACACATGACAACTTTTATTACATTTATGAAACAATTTTTGCAATATTTTGGCAATCAAGAATTGAAAACAGAACCATCAACAGAAATGATATCATCATGTACGACATCAAAGCAATTAGGTGATGCTCATAGTCAAGATACTGTTACAAATTGCTTACGAACCCAATTGTTAATCACGAACCTCGAAAAATTACAAAAATATTCTGGCAAGTTACAACAAAATGTATCGGAATGGTTAAAACAAATTCAACAAACAATGAATATGTTTAAATTAACTGATGCTGAAAAATTATTTTACGTACCATTATGTCTAGAAGATTATGCACAAGATTGGTTTTATGATAATAAACATTTAATGTTAACATGGACAATTTTTACACAAAAATTATTAAAAACATTTGAATCTTCAGCAAAGGCTGAAATCGCATTTAATCATTTACGTCATTATGAACAAAGTATCAATCAAGATGTAAGACAATATTATTTTGATATTATGAAATTATGTAAAGAAGCAAATCTATTAATGGATGATGCTAGTAAATTACAATATTTGAAGGATGGTTTAAAACCTTCATTACGTTTTCATGTATTATTAAAAAATCCACAAACTACAACAGAATTTTTGGAATATGCTCAAACGATTGAAGAACTTAAAGCATTAGATGAAAAACAGGACACTCAATCATCTTCATTTAGACGACCAAGTTATAACAATTCGTATTATAACACTAATTATAATAGCAATAATTCGTCTGAACGACATGTAGCTGCTATAACAACACAACGTCAATATTGTAATTCAATACCTAAACTATCTTATCAATGTTATAAGTGTGGTGCCAATGATCATTATATTCGTGATTGTCCACATTTTCAATAGAGGAGTCATTGGATGATGGTAATGACTCCTACGAATTAATTAAAACTCCATCACCAATTTTTACTCTTGCAAATGTTAATCAAGTTTCAATGAAAGTTATGTTTGATTCTGGTGCAACAACATCTTTTATTAGCAAAGCAGCATTAAAACGAACAACACATTTACCGATTAGGTTCGCTCAACAACATTATTTAATGGCAAATGGTTATACAACCTTTGAAGTAATTGGTACTGTAAAAATTTTTATTAAATTCAATCAAATGAAAACAAGTATCGTGGTAAGAGTTGTTAATTCTTTATGTGCTGATTGTATTTTAGGAATGGATTATATTAATAAATACAAGGTTAATCTTAATAATAAAGACAAACAAATTCGAATTCATACATTTAACAATATGATCACGATTCCAATGGAAGATCAAGTTGGCAGTATTAGAATGTTATGTTGATTACTGAATCCAACATGTATTTATCCATATCAAGAAAAACGAATAAAAATTGCTACAAAAATATCGTCTGGACAACTGCTATTTTTTCCTGCTTATCATCTTATTTATAAAAAAGGTGTAATTAGTCCACATTCCTCAATTTCAGTTAAGAATCATATAGCTTGGATTTCAATTTATAATCCAACATCTACAGTATGTTATTTAAAACGAAATATTATTGTTGGCGTTGCTGTTACTCCTCACATTACTGGTGCAGTTACAACTAGAGCTCAAGCGAAAGCAAAAACTAATCCACACAAATTAGCTGATACTAATCAAACTTCTGCTACAACATCATCAACAGATGATCAACCGCAGAAAGTGGTTGGTCATGCGTTTGATGTTTCCATTATTAGTGAAGCTCAAAAAGATGATAAATTATATCAAGAAAAAGTTCTGGAACTAAAAATGGGTCAAACCAAATGTTCTTATACACTTAATGATGGAATTTTATACAAATTATTTAAACGTCATACGTTTGTACAAAAATTGATTTATATACCCTCTACAATTTTGCCAAAATTATTAAAGGCTTATCATGTTGCACCTTGGGCTGGTCATTCTGGTTTCCGTAACACTTATTTCAAATTAAAACATAAATACTGGTGGCCAGATATGAAAACAACTATTAATAATTATGTTCAATCTTGTTCAAAATGTCAGGATTTTAATACAAATCGTCGTCAATCTGATTTACCACCAAAGAAGCCTAAGGCTATTTATAAATTTGACAAGCCAAATGGTTATTTTCCACATTTTACAAGAATTCTATCTAATTGTTATCAAAAGACACAAACTAATATGAATCAAAGTCAAAATTATAATCGAATATTTGATCGCAATCGTGTTGATATGTATTGCAATGTTGATAATCAAGAATTAAAACGAATTTCCCATTCTCCTTCAAAATCATCTGCAATTTATTCAAATCCTATGATAATTATTAAACAACAACATCCAACATAATAGGTTCAACATCGAAGTAATCAACAAGTTTATCAATATGTTACACTGTCTGTTTGTTTTCTTTACAACTATCTATTTACCGGTTCATCTATTTTTGATTTTTTTTTCTTTCATTTGTGATATTCATTCGTTTATTTTTTTTTCCTTTTCTCATTTTTCAAGTTTATATCTTGGTTTATATTTTTTTTTGCAGTTATACGAACAGATAATGCTGTTACATATATTCGTATAACTTTTTGTGTGGGGGGGAGGTGTTAGGATCCGACATCTATATATATATAGATGATCGATCCTCCTTCTTATTCTATATCATCTCTCTTCTTCTATTCTTTTCTAGTGAGTTGTTGTGTGTTACATGTACAAGTGAAGACGTGATAAAAATAAACATCAAGTTTAGGTTCACTTTCAATAACATTTTAAGAATAAAAGGAACGGAACCTAACAGTACTATAAATATACATTTGTATATTGCTAATAATAAGATTAAAGTTAAAAGAAATACCAGAAATACCATACAAATATTTTTCCAACGTTACTTTTTATGAATATTTTAATGGCTATAAATTGTTTGTTAAGTAAAAATATTAAAAAGCTAAGTTGGCTTTTGCTAAGTAAAATGTCTATTGGCTCAGTAAAAGAATTGAATCCTAAGTAAAAATATTGAACGCTCAGTTAATAATATAGTTCTCAGTAAAAAAAGATGTTTGCTAAGTTTGATAAATAATTGCTAAGTAAAAATTTTTTTTGTTAAGTTAATAAATCGAAATTATACTAAAAAAATTAAATCGCTAAGTAAAATTTATAATTACTAAGTAACTTCGAAGAAAGGCAAAATATGATTATCTGAGATAAGAAGAATTTTTTATGGTGATATGGCATATACATTTTCTCTCTTGCTTTTCTTCTATCAACATTAAACTAGCTTCATCACATATATATACTCCACTTATAGCTTCTTTCGCTCTGAGGTTATGCGTGAATAAGCGCACGTTTTCTTCAAGGATGTTCTGGTACAATTAGTTTTTCTTTTTCACTCACTGCTTCTTTTACATATGGCTTCTCTTATTTTCTTGAGAGCTCTTGGTATGTCAAGCATTTTCTAGTGAGTTATCGCACCCTCCTCATTTATGTATATATATATATATACATATATATATATATATCTGTCATTGAAAGTTTACTTTGAATTTATAAACCATGACAAATTTTGTGGCAACTATAGCCCATCGCGTCCAACAATTTTCGGACCCCGATCCGACCGATTAAAATTTGTTGAACCCGGATCCGATGGGCTCTACTGGCAACATAACAATATAAAAGCTTATCAGAAGCAGACAAAGAAATGAAAGTCGACCAGCAAGATATTTAAGATAACAAAGCGGTTAGAAAAAAATGGACTGATGCATATCATTTTGCAAAATCTTCAAAACCAGTATTACAACTATCATCTAAAACAAAAGATTTTACTGATTACTATATACCAGCTGGTGGGACAGAAAATACTACAACACATGAAATACAGAAATACAAAAGCAAAAAATGATGTCGTTTCATCAATTTAAAGAGCACTAAATTGAAATATGTGTAGTAACCTTATCACACAATATAGGGTGTCCAGTAAATGACTAGAGTTAGAAAAAATTGCATATCTCTCTGCTACGGCTCGAGCAAACAGGCTGATTTTTCTACCAATAATAGAAGCATGTTCACACTTTAAATCCATACAGACAAGATTAGAAAGAGCCTTTGTTAAGTACCACCAACGACCTCAACAAAAAAAATTTTACTTTTTCACAGATAGGAAAAGAACACTATACGGAGTAGCGCAAAAGTCACTTTGCCGCAAAAAAATTGAATATCTTCACTATGGCTCGAGCAAAAGAGCTGATTCTTTTATCAATGATAGAGGCATGTCCAAGCTTTATACTCATAAAGACATGCCTAGAGAGATCCTTTGTTAAGTCTATTGTTTTTTTTCTTATCTGTGAAAAAGTAAAATTTTTTTGTTGAGGTCGTTGGTGGTACTTAACAAAGGCTCTTTCTAATCTTGTCTGTATGGATTTAAAGTGTGAACATGCTTCTATTATTGGTAGAAAAATCAGCCTGTTTGCTCGAGCCGTAGCAGAGAGATATGCAATTTTTTCTAACTCTAGTCATTTACTGGACACCCTATATATCAGAATGGAAAAGCGGACTTTGCAATTGTCCAAGCTACTTTAAAGAATACATTTGCAAACATATTATTGGCATGGCTATTAGATTGAAGTTTTGTAAACTACCTCTATCAGCAAAGGATATACCTTTGAGTGAAAAAAGAAAACGAGGACGGCCATGAAAAGCAACAAGAGCTCTATTAATACTATAACTGTACAATTAACTGTTTTTACTTAGATATTCATGTCAGTTTACTTAACCAAAATTGTATATTTACCTAGAGATTTACAATATTTTACTTAGAAAATCAAACTTTTTTACTTCGAATTTAAATAAAAAACTTAGCAAAAATACGTTTTTTTACTTAGAATTTTTTTCAAAAACTTACTTAGCAAAAATTTAATTTTTTACTTAGCTTTTATTTAAAGTTACTTAGCAGTTAAATAGTAGCCTATTTTAATCATTATGTTAAATAAATTTACATTTACTAATTTAAGATTTAACTTTATTTAGGTAAACTCTATAATGAAGGTGTTAATTTAAATATTATGTCAAATTATTCACCAGTTCAATATCCAGTACCAGTTAATGTACCATTTATATCTCCTTTAATTGCTGCTCAATGGGATCACTCTCAACAATGGAAAATTCCAACATTTGAAATGTTTACACAATCATTAGGTTCAACACAACAAACTAAACATGAAATAGATCTTAATGATGGTAGTGAATATTCATTTATAATCGGTCATCAAATTGATGGTCGTTGTTTATTTCCTGCAACTGGTTATCTTATTTTAGTATGGAAAACATTTGCTAAATTATATAATTATGAAGATTATCATCAAATGTCAGTTTTATTTGAACAAATTCGAATACATCGTGCAACAATATGTTCATTAACAAATCAAATTATTTTTTATGTTAATATTTTACCAATAAATGGTACATTTGAAATTATTAAAAATAATACTATTATTGTTACTGGTCGTATATCACTAAATGAACAATTAACAATGCAAAAATTTCACAAACAAAT